AGGGGTCTATTTTTTCCCCATAATTCTATGCAAAATAAGTCTCTCCAGGACTTTGTAGAGGTGGCACAGCACGGAGATTGGTCTGTAGCTTTTTGGGTCATGGCGGTCTTTGCCTGGCTTCAAGATGGCGGTGACTCTTGCTTTCCTCCAGATTTTGGGGATCTGACAGGATGCAGTGCAGTTGTTCATTAGCTCTAGTAGTCAGCACTTTGCTTTTGGGCCAAAGTTCTTGATTTGTTCCATCCGTAGATCATCCAGGCCAGCTGCTTTGCCATTCTTACATGTATGGAGAGCCATGTCCAATTCAGGCCTGGTTCTAAAGGTCAGTGACCTTGGGTTCCTTTTCTCATTCATTAACTCCATTCAGTTCGATGCGATCGGCTCTCGATTGCTTTTGCCGAACCCGGAAGAAGGGCGGCTCGCTGAGCTCGGCGCTCTCTCGCTGCGCGACGTCTCCTAGCAACGCGGGGCCTAGTCGTAGGTCCGGAGCCTTGGCCTAGCGTAGCGGCGCGATGCTGCGGAGCCTGGCCTCGGCGGGGCTACGAAATGGAGCCTCCTTCGGTCGAAGAGGAGGAGGAGGAGGAAGGGGAAAAGGCTTCCCGCGGTGGGGGCTGGGCCTAGGCTTGGGCTTGGCGGCGGCGGCGGTTTCCTCCGCAGCCGGGAATGACGAGATGGAGGCGGATGGGGAGGCGCAGGAAAGGCCGAGGCGGGGAGCGGCCTACATCCGGGCCCAGGCCACCAGCAGGGACCTCCTGCAACGAGTGAAGGTAGGGGAAAGGCTCAACTGAGCATGCGCAGAGCACCTTCTCTAGTCTCTCCCCAGCAGGATTGTATGTCAATAGAGAGAGAATATGTATTCTTATGTACAGGTGTAGATGGACCTCAAGGGGTCATCTAGTCCAACCCCTGTCTGCCTTCATGCAGGGAAAGCACCATCAACCCCCCCCCCCCCGACAGATATATAAATACGTAACATATATAAATACATATAAGTATACATATAAATATATGTGTGCATATATATATATACACACACACACACACACATTACAATGCATGTGCAAAACCACATATATACACACAAACACACACATGTACACATATACACCCGGTGGCGCAGTGGGTTAAAGCGCTGAGCTGCTGAGCTTGTTGATCGAAAGGTCGCAGGTTCGATTCTGG